TCCACTTGGCCAATCCATCTCGTTAGGGGTCTTCCTCTTTTCTCTGACCCTCCACCTTACCAAACATGATATCCTTCTCCAGTGACTGATGCCTCCTGACAATATATCCAAAGTATGAGAGACAAAGTTTGGCCATCTTGGCCTCCAAGGAGCACTCTGTATGCACTTCTTCCAAAATGGATCTATTGGCTCTTTTGGCAGCCCATGGTACTTTCAATACTCTCCTCCAACACCGTAACTTAAACGCATCAATTCTTCTATGGTCTTCCTTATTCACAGTCTAGCTTTCGCATGCATATGAGGTTTTTGAAAATACCATGGCTTGGGTCTGGTGCACTTTAGTCCTCAAGCTGACATCTTTGCTCTTCAACACTTTAAAAGTGTTTTGCAGAGCAGATTTGCCTAATGAAATACGTCGTTCGATTTCTTGACTGCTGCTTCCATGAGTGTTGATAGTTGAGCCAAGAAGAATGAAGTCCTTGACAACTTTAGTCTTTTCTCTGTTGATAAGAATGTTGTTTATTGGTCCAGTTGTGAAGATTTTTGTCTTCTTTATATTGAGATGTAATCCATACTGAAGGCTGTGCTCTTTGATCTTCATCAGTAAATATTTTAAGTCCTCTTCACTTTCAGCAAGCAAGGTTGTATCATCTGTATATCGCAGATTGTTAATGAGTCTTCCTCCAATCCTGATGTCATGTTTTTCTTCACAGAACCCAGCTTCTCAAGTTATTTGCTCAGCATACAGGTTGAATAAGTATGGTGAAAGAATACAACCTTGTCGCACACCTTTCTTAATTTTAAACCATTCAGTGTTCCCATGTTCTGTTCGAACAACTGCCTCTTGGTCCAGATACAGACTCCTCATAAGCACAGTTAAGTGTTCCAGAATACTCATACTTCACAACATTGTCCATAGCTTGTCATGATCCACACAATCGAAAAGCCTTTTTGTAGTCAATAAAGCACAGGTAAACATCTTTCTGATAGTCTCTGCTTTCAGCCAAGATCCATCTGGCATCAGCAATACTATCCCTCATTCCACAGCCTCTTCTGAATCTGGCTTGAACCTCTGGAAGTTCTCTGTCAATGTATGCTTGCAGCCATTTCTATATTACCTTTAGTAAAACTTTACTCGCATGGGATATCAAAGAGATTGTCTGATGATTTCTGTATTCTGTTGGGTCACCTCTCTTTGTAATGGGCACAAATATGGTTCTCTTCCAATCAGTCAGCCAGGTAGTTGTCTTCCAAATTTCTTGGTAGAGATGAGTGAGTGCCTCCTGTGCCACCTCACTTTCTTGAAAGATTTCAATTTTTATTCCATCAATTCCTGGTGCCTTGTTCTTTGCCAATTCCTTCAATCACCTTGGACTTCCTCCTTCAGTATCACTGGCTCTTGATCATATGCTATCTCTTGAAATGGTTGAACATTAACCATTTCCTTTTGATATAATGACTGTGTATTCCTTCTACCTTCTCTTGATGCTTTCTGCATCATTCAATAATTTGCCCAGTGAATCTTTCAATAATGAAAGTTAAGGCTTGAATTTTTACTTTTGTTCCCCCAGCTTGAGAAATGCTGAGTGTGTTCTTCCTTTTTGGTTTTCTGATTCCAGATCTTTTCCCATTTGTTGTAATATTTGGCTTTATCTTCTTGAGCTGATCTTTGAAATTTTGTGTTCAGTTCTTATACCTCATAATTTCTCCCATTTCCTTTAACATCTCTTCACTGGCGAGCAAGTTTCAGAGTCTCTTCTGACATGTATTTTGACCTTTTCCTTCTTTCTTGTCTTCTCAATGACTTTTTGCTTTCTTCATGTATGATGTTCTTGATGTCATCCCACAAGTTGTCTGGCCTTCGGTCTTTAGTGTTTAAAGGAATAACCACATGCAATTTCTTCAAACATAGAATTTCTAATATATGAGTGGTTATGATCAAATAGGAATCTTGGTGTGGTGTTATAGGATAAGCACTGAACTGCTAACCAAAAGGTTGGCAATTCAAACCCACCAGCCATTCCATTGAAACCTACACTCATAGAATCACCATAAATTGGAACCAACTCAACAGCCTTTATCATCAACAAAATGATCAAACATAATTTAGTTACCTAAAAAATATAAACAATCTCATACACAATAATTAGGTGGTGTCATGCTTTGTCAGACATTGATGTGCACCTAGTGTAAGTCACTGACAGGATATATTTCTTTGAAATGATAGGAACAATAATTTTGCAACAATTACCTTGTTTCCCAAAATGTCACCCTCCGAATTTAACACCTGTGATAAGTAAGGTTTTGTGTCAACTTAACTGTGCCTGGGTTTTCATTGGTTTGGCTGTTAAGATGAGACTTAATATGATGCATTCACTCCCATGATGTGATTTTATGTGATAAGTTCTGATCTGATGTAATTATCCTGTGTTGCAAATAAATTCTTCCTTCTATGATATTAATGAGGTCACATGCAATCTATAGGATTAGACTATATCTTTGAGATACAAAAGGAGAGAGGACTGAGCTGAGCTCAGAGGAATCTACTATCACCAATATAGAAGAGCTAAGAGTGGAGTGCTTCTTTTGGAACTGGGGTTCCCGCACCGTGAGGCTCTAACAACCATGAGAAGATGGATATCAAGGCACATATGTTTCAAGATAAGTCTTAAGGAATCGATCTATTAGGAATGATGGGCCTACAGATGCTAAAAGGACCCTTCCTTGGAGCCAACAAAGAGAAAGATTTCCCCTAGAGCAGGCATTCTGAATTCGGACTTCTAGCCGCCTAAACTGTGATAGAAGACATTTCTATTTTTTAAAATTATCCCCTCACTGTGGTATTTCTGTTACAGCAGCATTAGACAACTGAGACACGCTCCAAATAACTTAGTCCAGTAGCTCTGAATAAGGAATCTGTTATCTCCTCAGTGTCACTGCTTACGTTGTATTTCACTCTATATTTATCATATAAGTAATATGTGAAAACTGCTTCTATAGATGTTATTAAGTGCCATCGAGTCGGCTTCGATTCGTAACCACTACACTACCAGAGCTCCTTAGATACTTACTTAAAAATAACAATTCCCTGAAAATTAGTCCTTTTTGGCTTTAAGACCAAACAAAAAACTAGTGTCTTTCTCCCTAACCTTCTATTTTTGCATCTGTAACACTAAATGCTCTTGTTAAAGTTCTCTTTTCTACTAGGCTATCTAAATTCTTGCATGTAGAGATTGTGCATTGTGTATTTATCCATAGTTGATGCTAACCTTGTCTAAGTAAGTGAGAGGATATATTTCTTTGGAAGTCTTAGCAACAAATTTTTCTGAAAAATAATAGGTGCTCAATACATTTTGTCAAGTGAATAAATAAGTGAATGATGCTGTATTAGATACTGCCCAAATCTAGAATTCTGAAAAATTAAGGCAGAATATAATCTAAAGCCAAATTATTAAGAATAAAATTTGGTAAACACCATTTTCAATGTGCATAGATAGGTGCATTCAGGCATCTTGCTCTCTGGCTTTCAATGTTCCAATTCATAACAAGTGTGTGTATGTATGTATGTGTATATATATATATATATATATATATATATATATATATATATTCAGAGACCCAGAGAGTTTGGAACTAGTTTGGCCTGTTGGCCTTTTACAGGTGCAATTTATTTTTATAGTCCAAAGAAGAGCATTGAGTTCTTTCAGAATAACCTGATTCCAAGAGAGTTAAATAAAGTTTGTTCATCCTTTCAAGATTTTTCACATACTTCTGTCTTTCTAGACTGTGAAGTAAATTTCCACTCCCCAAAAGGCCTAGTGCTGATTTTAATGATACTGTCCACGTGACATGCTTTTTTTTTCTTTTTTTTTCTTCATTGCTATTAATGAGTGACAAGTGAAGGATATTCACTTTAACTTGAAAATGTCAGGTATGCACTTTAAGAGATATATTTTTTGCAGTTTTTAATGAGGTGGTGTTTCTTCTGAAAGAAATACTCATCTCTGATGCTGGTACCGTGCAGGTGACAACTGATATTTAATAAGCGATGGCTCTTGTATTAGTCGCAGTTCACTAAAGAAAATGTCTCAGATTGCTTTTGAAAAACTCTTAGCGTCACTAGCCCAAAGGCAAGATGTGACCTTTTTATTACATAATGAGAATCATTTATTATCTTACAATGTATCTTAAAGTCACAGACAAAATGCCACTTTGATAATTGCTTTCAATTAGCTTTGAGCATAGCATATATTCATAAAATGTCTTCTCTAATTTAGACTTGAATTAGAGAAAATTGCAGACATAATCTACTTTAAGGTTGTCTCATTTAAGGTGATTCGTAGTTTTATATCAAAGAAATCAAAACGAGAAGCTTTAGAAGAGTCTCTGAAAGTGTTTTAAGCAGCCTTTTCAATATTTGATTCTATTCTATTACCGATTAATTATTAAATTAGAAAACTAGTTCATCATTTTTGACCTTTAATTCACTTTAACTTTTGACTTTTCATTCCCAATGATTGTTTTGAAATTAAGCCTTGCAGTTCATGTTGAAATAGAGAAACAGCCTGATTAACAAGATACAGAAGTCTTGCCTTGATACCAAGTACATCTTGAAATTGGGCTGTAACTGGGATTATGAATACTGTAATGATACATCCTTTCTTGCCTTAAATATTTGATATAAAACTAATAGTCAAGAAACTATACTAGCTATTCATATAGCCTAATATGGGAACATGGATGAAATTAGAGATAACTGTGCTATCTAAAATGTGACTTTGGATAATTTTAATTATCTGTTAATATACTGAGATTTGGGGTATGGTTTAAATGCATATCTTTATCTCTTCTAAAACTAGCTTTTCATATGATAGAAATTCTAGTACTGTACTTTACACTCATCATGTTTCAGCAACTCATGAAATATTACTAACTTTATTAGATGCTCCTAAATTAGCATTGTTTCTGGGGCTTATTTTCTCTCTCTTTTTTCGCTCTAGATAAAAATTATTCACAAGAACCAAGCCCCAATGCTGATGGGTCCTCCTCCAAAAACCGGGTTATTCTGCTCCCTTGTCAAAAGAACAAGAAACCGAAGCAAGGAATAATTCTGTATCATTTCATTCTTAGAAATTTAATTAGCATAATTGGGCCATGGAACACTTATGCTGGAAATCTTTGAACAATTTCAAGTCTCCTGCACATGTAAAATCATGGAATTAGTTTAACAGTTTTTGTTACTGAGCTAGTGTGAAGTTCAGCTATTAGAAGATTTATTGTCTGTTTTTATCGGTATCTTTGCATGAAGAAAGCAGATGTTTTCATTAAGTGATACTGCTTATTTTTGTTGCATGCATTCCCATAGATTTTATGTCTTCCACCCATACTTTCCTGTTTTCCATTTGCCAATGTGTGGGGAAAGCCTGCAAAATATTTTTGTTGTTGTTTTTATAGAAGGAAATACCATGGAGAATGTGATTCTCTCAATGTAATTCCAGTTATTACTAAGCACTATCAGTAATGCTACAATGATTGTAATTTGAGAATGCTATACTTTTCTCTTTTAGAATCAAGTAACAGATTAGTGATCTATTGTGACCTATAACTTGAGGTTGCTGTTGTTGTCGTTAAGTGCCGTCCAGTTAAGTTGTTAAGTGCCGTCCAGTAAAACCCAGTATAGGGATTCCAAGGAGCAGCTGGTGAGTTTGAACCACTGACATTGAGTTGAAGCTAACCTTGCAGTCCTGCCCCACCAGGACTCCTTGAGGAGAGATTTATAATTCAGAGTTTCTATTAAGTACTTTCCTATGAAAACGTGTTATATCTAAATAGTTTTTCTTCAACATCTTACTGCTTTTGAGTGGAATTTAAAATATCACGCATAAAGTTTTATTGTGCTGAAAAGTAAGTATTTTGTTGTTGTTGTTGTTTAGTTTAATTTTCAGTTCCAGAAATAAGTGAACACATACTTGGCAGTAAAGTGTGCTATATTGACAAGCCTTAGTCATTTCTGCATGTGACTCTAGAAGAACATTTATAATCACACCAGTAACCAAATAGATGTTTCAAACTATGTGCCTAATAAACTGTGTTTCCCACCAAAGATTCGACAAAAGATGCTTGAGAGTAATGTGTTAATGCATAATTAATTAAGTATTGTGGAGAAAATTTATGGTTTTTATGATTCATTTAGTGATAACTAAAATTCTAGAAGAGGGTTAATTATCCATTAATTATAATACAAATGCTCACCATTCACAGATAATAGGCCATACAAAACAATTACAACTCAACAGCTGATTTCTTATTGTTTTGGTCATTTATAAATATAGGCGTCTGAAATTTTTAATGGATCAGTTAAACACATGTGAGGGAAGTAATGATTGTATCCATTCCTTTGAGTATTAAATTGGTACCTGTAATAATATTGAGACAATTAAAATAAATCATGCATGCAATTAGCCCTCCCCCATCCTCCCTCACCCCCATCTCTGTCACATTTCAAATGTTTATTTAGGAATGATGGACAGGATCATTGTATATAAAGTGTTCATGGCATGACTGGATTCTCCGTTTAAAGAAATCATGTAATGGTACTTTTCTTAATGTTTCATTAAGTCTGTGATATAAAATGAAATACTATTCCAAGCAGCCTTAGTATTATTGTTCTTTCATATTGCCCTGCATCTCATTATTGCATGTTTTATGTTTTCAAACATGCCGTAAGGAAAACAAATGCTTGAAATGCATGATTTATTAGTTTTCCCTCTCCACTCTGCATTAAAGTGCTAATGATTTATCAGTTCTATTATTCTATTGATTCATTCATCTTTGAATAACAAATAGCATTTAGTGATTCTGTTGTACACAATTCTGTGCATGGATTTATGGATTTCAAGTGAAATTGCTATAATTTTAATTCTTTGGTTTGAAAAATCAGTTGAATGCATTTATATCAAATAGCTACTCTCAAGCAATGTACTGTAGTGGAAGATTATGTATAAAGTGTATTCTTTTAGTGTTCCAGAAACATTGGATGGTAAATATCAATCAACAACAAGTTTAATTGCTTTAAAAATAAAAATCATTATAATTCAGTTAAGACAAAATTAATCATTCCCAAGAAAACGATAATGACAATTGCAAATTTAGCACAGCAATCACTTGCCCAGGTATTGAATAATGGAGAAAAAAAACTGTTAGGTAGAAGATCAGTAATCTAGATCAAAAGAAATCTCAAAGTAGTAACAAATGCAATACTGACATAATGTTACATAACACACACACTGATTCTGTATATCTATAGTTATAGGTAATAAATATTTTCACATGAATTGATAACATTTCCTACAATGGGCAGACAAATTTTATGTTATACAGTAACAAATTATTTTATGTTTGGTACAACATACAATTATTTCTTGGCTACTTTTTAGAGTATATAGTTTGAAGACAGCAACCATTCACGAGTCATTCTGAACAATCTGTGCAGTAGAAAAACTGTTAAATAGAAAGATGAGACAAACTAAATAACCTGCCTGTAAAACTTCAATAATGGAAATAATGGGGTACAGCTTCACCCATATGCCTACAGTCAGTGCTGATAGTAGTAGTTGATCAGATATTCCCTCAGCTGGATTCATTAGCATCACTAGTGAATATTCAAATACGAATCAAATATTACTTTCCCAAGCTCATTTTCTCAACTACTGATATGCTTGCGCTCAAAGTATACTACTTCTGGGGTTTGGAAAGTAGATTTTAAAAAATCTACTTTGATGGTTTTGATGTCAGAAAAGATATGCTCTCCCATTTTTATGATAGCTCCCAGGTTAAAAAAATATATATTTTTGTTTGTTTGTTTTTTAAGGAAATTCTAAATGGACAGTTCTATAGTATATCAAAATGTTGAACGATGAATGTTTCCATTTACATGGTAGAAATTTTTCTTCTATGTGAGTGAGTGTCTACTTGAGTTGTTGAGTCCACCTCTTAAATATAATAGACATAGCATTAAAGTTTTAAGTAGGTGAAACTCTTATATTAAAATTAGCACTGGTTTATGGGGGTCAGGTCAAAAAGGTATTTATTCTTTTAAATAGTGTCATAGAAAATATATTTTAAACATGACAAAGAGAGAGATTCCAGAATACACCTGGACATCCACACTTCTAAAAATTGGAAATGAAACTACTTGTGCAGAATCAGAAATTTTAAAGGACTTCCATGTATATGTGTATACTATGTGTATTTCATGCTTTTTGAACCATGTACTGTAGTGGATGGAAGTATCTTGTAGGAAGTGGGAAAACAATAATGTTTTAAAACATTTTTATTTGAAGCCAATCATGTGCTCACAAACTGGATAAAGGAAGGAGTTCAGATATTTCATACAAACAGTCTACCACAGGCAAAATTTTAATCCAGTCAAGACTAATGAATCATATATATGTTTCCACATTTTGTTCTATTTTCCTTTTATAGGGGGATGGGAAGCTATTATAATTTTGAAAGAAGAATCTGTTTTTGAATCACAGACGGTATTCGACATGAATGAGAGAAGATTTCTAAATGGCTCCATTCCTTTTTGTATTAAACTTTGTTAATCTATTGTTATAACAAGAAACTGGATTATTCTTGGCACATACAACCCCCAAAGAATGTATTAAAATAACATATTTTCAAAATTAAAAGAGTAAACCCTTATATGCTGAGGATATAAACTTTTAAAGGGAACAAATGCAGTTTAAAGAATAACCTGCGAAAGAAGAGATTTGATTTTGTGAAAGGCAGAGATCATCTCTTAAATCTCCCAGTAAAATTACATTGTATATTTTTAAAGTCTGAGCAAACCCATCTTTGAACTGTTCAAACCATCCTTATTGTGTTCAGAAATATGAGATTCATTTAATTATAGTATTCCAAGTATTTTCTCAGAAAGTATTATATTCAATATTCTGCTTTTTGAAATAAAAATGTTAACTACTCAGTGAAGTGTCATTTTTTTTGTAATTTTTGCTAAATACCACCATTAAATAAACTCTTTGAGTAATCTGATGGTCTATCTACTTATCTGCTGAGGTACCCATGCCAGCCAGCTTGTCTTTCATCAATGAAGGAGGAGCATGGGTATTTTGTGCATGAATCAGTCTGCTTTGTGGTATTTTGGGGTCTTAAATGGCTACTATGGACATTATTACAGCAATTTGAAAGATTTCATGAAAACCAACAAATTGCCTGATGAATTTGTGGGAAGTCAGCCAAGGGCTCTGTATGGACTTCAGTTAAATTTTCTGAATAAAACAATTGCTAATTTTAGTTTGTATAACATATTTAAATATTTCTTTAAACACTGATGAGGTGTAAGATATTTTGCTTAGGGCTGCTGCATTTAAAAACAAACAAACAAAAACCAACCTCTTTTTCCAAGGTCTTTCCATCTTTTGGGTAGAATTAAAGTAAACCAATGGCCATATACTACTGCATGGAGGAGTGAGGTGAAAACAAAGAAAAAAATATATATAACAAGACACATATTCAAAGGAGAAAAGGATGGTTTGGTTGGGGAAATTTTAAAAAGGCCTAGATCTGTAAATGGCTTTCAGAGTCACAATTTTACATGGAGGAAGAGGTAGTAAGAAATAGAAAGAAGAAAGTTCATGTTTATTTTGTTTTTATTTCTACAGCTTAATTTTTTAAAGTTTATATGCTTAACATGAATGTCCACAAGCACTGTAAATTCAAAATCTCTGAAACATAATTCACTTCTCTTCCCAGAATTAACCTATTTCTGTATACTTTTATTAATGAATTACTCTTTCATGTCAGACTCTAAGGAAAAGGCTGAAGCATTCCCACTTCTAAATGGCCATTCCTACTAGTTCCATTAACTTTATATTTGCAAAGTCCACTCCCTGCTTACTAAATAAAGGTTCAGACTTTCATAATGTCATGCTTCAATTATATCATTGTTGTTAAGTACCGTTGAATCAGTTCCAACTCATAGTGACCCAATATAGAGATTCTGAAGCTGAAAGGCAGAAATCTGCTTGTTGAGAATAAGGCAGTGCTTCATTCTGTTGGGCACAGGGTCACTGTGACTCAGAGTCATTTGCATCCCATTGCTCATCTTGCAGAGCCACTGCACTCCCAACTTAATCTGCAGTTGTAATCAAAAAGGATAGGTCCAAGTAGTGTGGGTTCTGAAGCTCATACAATTTAGTGAGATCTCATTAAGAAAACCAAATTTAATATTACAAAGAAAAATAATTATTTAGAAAGAATTATCTGGCCCACTTTCATATTTTTCCTATATATTTTGGATACAACTTCTTTGATTCTTTCTTTATATATAAGAAATGTGTACTATAATATTTTTACAAAGAGAAAATGAGAGAGGACCAGCAAAAAAAAGAGAATCTAGTGAGTTAGAAGGACACAGATGCAGTACAATGGGTTCAAATATAGCAATTGTGAGGATGCTGCAGAGTCAGGCAGGGTTTCATTCTATTGGGCATAGAGTCACTGACTCAGAACCAACTTGACAATACCTAACAATAGCGAGAGAGAGAACAGAAAGA